CACTTTAGGGGTCAGGTATTGACATTTTTGTGGATTAGCATAAAGCTGTTGTGCTCTGAGAATATCCAACACATTTCTTAAATGCAACAAATGCTCTTCAATGGATGAGCTGTAGATTAAAATGTCGTCGAAATAGACAACCACACATTTACTCAGCAGAGGTTGAAAGACCTGGTTCATGAGTCTCATGAATGTACTGGGATGGATACTCCGAAGGGCATCACAGTCCATTCTTATAACCCTCCCGCGTCTTAAACACGGTTTTCCACTCGTCGCCTGGCCGGAGGCGGATTTGGTGATATCCGCTCCGTAGATCAATTTTGGAAAAAATGGCAGCTCCGTGTAACTGATCGAAAAGGTCGTCGATGCGAGGTATTGGAAATCTGTACTTGATGGTAATTTTGTTGATGGATCTACTGTCTATGCACATACGGAAAGTTCCGTCTTTCTTCGGCACCAATAAGGCCGGGATGGCACACGGGCTGGCACTCGGTCGGACAAAGCCTTTCCCGACCAAGTCATTGACCTGCCGTTGTAGTTCTGAGTGTTCATCCGGACGTAAGCGGTATGCGGGTCGATTCGGGAGAACAGAACCTGGAATTAATTCCATATGTTGTTGTATATCACGTAGTGGTGGCAGTCCATTTGGTAGTTCGTTAACTAGAACATCTTCGTAGATTCGTAATAAAGGACGAACCTCTTCCGGAACGACCATGTGCTCTTCATTTTCTTCTATTAGCAGAATTAGGAAGCCCTCCTGATTATTCCTTAATTCTTTAAGAAATAAGCTACGGCCCACTATAGTTGACACAGTTGATTTCTCTGGTTCTTTGATCTGTAACGGTACAAGCACAATTTGTTGATGGTTATGAAGGAATGAATAAGTATTGGAAGTACCGTGATGAGTAGTGTTCTTGTCGAACTGCCATGGCCGTCCTAACAGTAGGTGACAGACATCCATAGGAACCACGTCACAGAGGACTTGATCACTAAAATGGCAGACCAGGCATCTTTTGCAAACTTGGACTTCTGCATTTTTCTGTATCCAAGATAGTGAATAGGGATTTGGGTGATCCCTGGTGGGTAGTTGTAATTTTTCAACCATAAGATTGGACACCACGTTTTCACATCTCCCGCTATCGATGATCACGTCTCACACCTTATTCTTGACGGTGCGTCTGGTTCTAAAGATGTTGTGCCGTAGCCATAATTCTTCTTTATGAATATTAAGAGCATGTATTAATACCAATAGGTCTCCATCATCGCCATGTAGATACGATGTTTCCGCTTCACTCGACTCAACAAAGGAGTTCAGAGGGATTTCTTCTAATTCAGGTTCTTCTATCAATGTGACGACTCGTATGTTGGGGAAATTAGATGCTATATGCCCAAAACCCTGACACTTAAAACATTTGCGGGGAGGTAATGGAGCAGGAATTTGACCATTGCGGGCCACAGTCCGTGGTAATCGATCTTCTGATAATCTACTAGATCCCCCTGTATATTTGTGTGGCTTAGCTTCTTGTTCAATCACGTTTTCTGTTGGAACGATCTTGTTCACGGGCTTCTTGAATCGATTTTGTTGTTTTTCCACTTTTAAAGCTAAATTTACCACATCTTGAAATGTCCAGTAGGACTGGAGTTGAACTACATTGCTGTTAGCGATATTTAGACCTCCTAAGAATCAAGCCACTGTATGTTCTTCCGGTTCTACCACATCACATTTTACGGCTAGTTGTTCGAATTCAGCGACGTAATCTTCTACCGACAATTGTTTTTGTTTTAACTGTGTGAATTTTAAGAACAAATCTTGCCTGTATTGATCGGGAATGTATTTCCGTTGTAGCTCCCTCTTCATTTTGTTCCAGGTCTCGATCTTACTCCGCCCTTCCCGAGTTCTTGATCTCTTCAGGTTTTCCCACCATAACGAGGCGGCTTTCTTCAATCTGATTGCTACCAATTTAACAATTCGATTAGCTGGAACTTCTTTGAAATCAAGAATCCGCTCCACGGTTTGTAACCAGCCGATAAACTCATCAGGATCCATTCTTCCATCAAATTCAGGTAGTTCCATCTTGATTCCAAAATCATTAGGTATTTTCCTATTGTTTCGCTCCCGTAGTCGCTGTCCAACTTCATCGTCGCTGGAGTTTTCTTGATGAAAGGGATTGACGATCTTCTTCTTCATTCGGCCCAGCATTGGGTTCTCTCTTTGTTCACTCCAGGCGAGTCTCTGCTGCAACTGTTCGATTTCTCGCCGTAGATCTTCGATCAAGACTTCTTGGACTGATCGTTGAGGAGCTCTTCGAGGCGGCATCTTTGCCAGCTCTGATACCACTTGACACCGGACAACCCTGACTGGGTTTCGTCGATCGACCTAGTGCAATGGCAAGACAGAGTGGACCTTGAACGGGGACGCCGAGACGTCGCCGATCACCACTGTTCCTGCAAGGACAACAAACACCACCACCTGACAGTGCGCCAGCATACAAAATACAAACGAAAGAGTTAATTCTCAGCTCAAAATCATCTATCTCTTATTAATGTTCCTTCAGCTATTTATAGTCACTTTTAGAAACAGTGACGGCTACACAAGAAACAAGAATGAAATAAAAGAAAAGCAATACAGATATCTGAAGTTCTTATAGCACATGATTGCTGTGGCCACACGATTCAGATACATCCTTAGCTCCGGCGTCAGTTAGGATATGGGAGCAGTTCACTCAGCGGATTGGATGATTTTAGACGCCATTGGAGTAGCAAGAGGCTTGTAATCTAGCATTCCAGCACGATTCAGAACAACAGCAACATATGTTGATTGGTTTAGATAAAAGCCATTTAATGTTTGCAGGACATTATGCCAAGAAAGTACTGAATATTCCCCAGGTTTTTCAATTGAAATGTCTTATGTAAATCAGCCAATAATTTTTGAATAAGATTTTCATTATTGCCGGTCAATAGAATGTTATTGACATAGATCAAAAGGTAAAGAGAATTGTTGGCTCAGTGATTAATTAACATGGATGGGTCGGCTGCTAGACTGAAAACCAAGATTTAGCAAATGAGTGGAAAAAGTAGCAAACCATTTCCTTAGCGATTGTTTAATCCTTAGATGGATTTCTTCAAAAGTCAAAAAAAAAAAAAGATGGCGTGGACCAGCAAATTCATGTGGTTGAGTCATATAAACCATTTCATGAAGAGAGCCGTGGAAGAAGACATATGCTAACAATATGTTTGGGTTTTAACTAGCCTATTTGCAGCCGAGTAAACATAGGATTGGATCTGAGAGGAGGAGATGATGGAGAATTTGAAGATAGAGTCGCTGAATGGATAGGGGCTGGAGAAGTAGATGAAAGGAGTGGCTATGTAGGCGGAGAAAGAACGGGTGAAGAGTGGTTATGTGTACTTAGAGAAGAGCTGGAAATAGTAACATTGCTGGAATGAGATGGAAGAGTAGTTGTAGCTGGAACTAATGTTAAGGGTGGATGGTAAGGCTTAATTGTTGGAGGGAGAGAAGGGGGTGGGTGAGGCATGAAAAAGAAATATATGTTCAAAGAATTTGACATGATGGGAAATAAAAAATGTATTGGTCCGGGGATTGTAGCATTTGTAACTTTTAGAGTTTGGAGCATACTAAAGAAAACACGGGGAGCAAATTTTGAATCAACTTAGTGTTTCGAAATAACCAGTAGCCAATGATAGCATAAACATCTGAAAGTTTTGAGATGGTAGTACATAGGGGATTTTTTGTAGAGTAATTGATAGGGAGAGAAGTTGGATGTGGTAGAAGAGGGAAGTCTGTTAATTAAATACACTGCGGTGAGTAATGTATCTACCCAAAACAAAGATGTTTTGGCATCAGGCATTAAGGTCCTTAGAGCTTCAATGATATGACGATTCTTTCACTCAATGACACCATTTTATTCAGCTATGAAGCATACTGGGAAGTTTTAATGCGAAGTAGTCCAACTATGTTATGAACTTCAATTCATAGTATATGTTAATTATTTTTGTTTCATATGATGCCTAATGTTCCCCATGCTATGGAATAAAGATTTGTTGTTGTATGATGCCTAATGTACGGTGAAATTCAAGATTCATGAAAGATTTCTTACATTCAGCCCACAACACCAAACAGATATATATTTTTTGTTATACAATATTTTTTATTGTAAGGTATATGATGGGAGATATCAAACAATTATAGGCTTGAGCTTCAGATCGACCCGTTGAATTGAATGAAATAATTAGCAGGCAAATTTTCTTACCATTTCTAGGGGTGCATCTAGTAACAGACACATACGGATGGCCTATTGTGATCATATATTTTAGAAGGAGAACACCTTCCTTCTTTTTTTCGCCTTTTTTGAAGAAAGATAGTTACATAAGCATATAAAAAAAAAGTAACAAAAGCATACACATGTAGTGTGTCTTTTCTTTGTAATTTTTTGGTTTTTTTATATGTAAAATGTAAGTTTCAATGATGCAATACATTGGAATGTATTTTTTTAATGTTTGTTATGATGCATTTTAAATGTATTAAAATTTGAAAATCTGTTGATGTAAGCCATTTTCAAATATAGGAAAAATTTAGATTTTTGGGGTTTCAATTCATCAATTTTTTTATTTTTATTTCATTTAGTTCAGATACTGAACTACAACAATAATATCAAGCTTTTATCCCAGTATGCGGGATTTGACTATATAAATCATTTTTCTCCATTGTGTACTTCATGTCAAATATCAGAAAAGTATTAGAGAAATTGAAATGCAACCAATCAGACTGGCTCTAAGCGACCATCAGGTTCATGACGAAGAAAACAATACCCTCCAACACATTAACATGTTTTCTAATGAAATGTTTGGCTTGCATTATGAGGCAACTTTATTTATTTTTTCATTATTAGTAGCTTCTTAACACAATTGAAAAGATTCTTATTTATCCTCCTTTGCAATCGCTGCATTATTTAATGTTTTTCTTTGTATTTCTTTCGTGGCAGCCTTTTTTCAACAGGCTTTTGTGATGCTAAATTGCTATTAATATTAGGGTTACTGCTGAAGATCATTTGTCTCTAATCTGATCAACGTGGATCACATGAAAATGAAAATGGAGTATGTGAGGTCTTCTGTTTTGACTGGTTTTTGTGGGTGTAAATCGGAGCTACCTTCATGGGGGTGAAGTCTTCTACCTCTCATCGTTGTTTTTTTTTTGGGTAAGTTTTTTCTTAAGGACCAGTTTTTTTTAGGGCATGTGATATCTTTTCCATAGCAGAATTTGTATTTTTCTTAAGTTTTGTTTGCAGGCTCATAGAATGGAAAATCTTCAATGGAATATGACTAGCCTTAATCGAAAGTTCTCTCTCATGATTGAGAAGGGTAATTAACTGTAGGGGCTTGCGCCTATAGGAAACCAGAACTCAGATCATAAAGTCCTCACAAAATGAGGGTGAAATCTCTGGGTGGTGTCTTATCTACAAACCCATCTGCCTTCTAAAATTTACCCCGGAACTTAATTCCGTTAAAACTCCCTCGTCGAAAAAAAAAAAACGCGGCGGGGAGGCCGAGGCCGAATTTTCGGAGCCCACATGAAGTTGAACATTCTTCACTCATGGATGATTCCAACATATACGTGTACTAATTTTTTGATGTTATTATCGTATATTAGGGTTTAGGTTTTTATGATCTTGATAGAATATCAAAAGTGTGTTTTGATCATTGTTAGAGTATGTGCTAATTATGTTTGTCTCTAATTTGAATCATGTTATTAGATCATTACTCAAATCATGTTTAAACATTGTTCGATTATGGTTCGAATGGGATCCAAACACTTTTGCACACATTTAAGAATATATTTTGAATAAGGTATGAACTCTTGTTCAAACATAGTTCAATTATTGTTCTACTAAGGTTCAAGCATTGTCAAACCATGTTCTAAGATGATTAGATCCTTATTCGAACAATAGTAAAATTATATGCTAATGATTTTTTTAAAATGAATTATTAATAATCTTATACTATATGAAGTGATTTGGAAAGAAGATGGATACGTTGGTTGGATATTCACCGAAATTGATGTAAATAATTGATAGTACAAATAAGTGTTTTCTTTGAAGATTTTATGAAGTCCTATGGATAAAGTGAGAAATGTTGCTAAGAATCAATTTAGTTTGAAGTTGGAGATAATTTATCACTTTGATAGAGCATAGCCAACAATTTCAAACCCTTCAATTGAAAAGCTTATAAATTATGATTTTATTTTTTAATGAGATATACTTATCAATTCAATAACGATCTCTCATATATGTTTTTATTGCTCCCAAGAAGATTTCAACTGCGATTTTTTTGTGTAAATAAAGATGATGCAAAATTAGTTAATTCATCATATTCTACTGGTGTAGGTGATGATATGAGTGTAGTACATGCAGAAATAGGTGATGATGTGGACATAATATGCAAAAAAGTAAGTGATGTTGTGAATATATAGGAGCAGATGATACCAATTTAATAGATGCTTCAATGCTAGAGCATTCATGGGAGATTACAAACCCATTTTTCATCAACTTGAAACAGGCAAACATGTAAAGCTTTCTCATTCTCCATGTACATTTAGGCTAAAGAACATATAGATAACTCACATCTTATAATAGTCAATGTTTGAAAGTGACTTGAATTCAATTGTTGTTGATATCACGCTCGAGTTTATTCTTTGCTCAATTATAGGTTGGATAGCTTTTTTGGAGTAAAGAAGAATTGAAGCAGATGTCACATAATTATGCACTTAAAAAAGAATTTTAATTTAAGCTGAAGAAATCAGATAAAGAAGCATGGTATATATGCTCTACTTCGAAGAAATGCTCATGAGCTTGAGATCAACAAAATTGGCAAACTCAAGTATGTTTGTGATTAGGAGCTTTGAATCAAAACATTATTGATGTTAGATTGACAAACTCAAGCACATTGTATGTTAGATTGCATGATCACTGACAAGCTCAATCATAGCTCATTAGACATAATTAAGGATAAACTCATTGGATCTGATCCTAACATGAAGCCAAAGATGAACAGAATTGATATGAAGAGGGATTATGATATTAATTTATTCTATGAGAAGTCCTGGTGGTGTTGTGATGAAGCTATCACATTTATAAAAGAATCCCCCTAAACATCCTTTTGGAAGGTGCAATCATATCTTATTTTGTTAATTAGGAAAAATTCATGAACAATTGTTGATTTTTAGCTTAATAGTGATGGATGTCTCAAGTATGTATATTTGTTTTTCGGTATTTGTATTCAAGTCTTCTTAAGTGCATGTCGTCTAGTGTTTAGTGTGGAAGGAATTTTTTTTTAATACACATTATGGAGGTACTTATGCAATGGCGTAAGATATCAATATTTAGGTTTATTCAATGACATTTATAGTATTGGACTTAGAAAATAATAAGTCATGGATGTATTTTATGACCAAGGTTAAGGGAGCCAATATACACAATAGAAAACATAGTGGTCATCTCTAATAGACATAACAATATTGTCAATGATTTATCAATTATTTTCTTAGAGGCATGTTATGGAGCTTGCATTTATTATGGCATAATGAATATCACAATGAATAAAAAAATAATAGTTACTATGAGGAATATCACTTAACTTTCAAGGCTTATAGAAGAGCTGAGTTTTACGGGCACTTCGATAAAATACATGTAAAGAATCCAAGCATAATACCTTATTTAGAGAATGAAGTTGTCTTTAAGTGATGAACTTGTATTTTTTTTTTTCAAAAATTGATAAAACTTAATGATAATTGGTATTGCAAAGAGCTTCAAAAATTATTTTAATTAAAGAAATTAAAAAAGCGTTGTGGAAGCTCCTAATTACGCCTCAAAGCTTGTTTCACCTCGTTAGTCAATTTGAATTGCATATTCTTGATTTTGGCCTTCATAGTGATGTTGATTTGAACGAGAGGACATACTAGTTTAACTCAGGTTGTTCACAGTAAAATTCCCTATAAAATTTTACGCATACACTTGTGTGGTGGTGCCATTGCCAAATCAAATTCATTGTTAATCAACTTGGCTTAACCTTCCTTATAGCATTTAGTTGGTTATATGTATTTTGTACTCAACATTTACATTTAAACATATGTCTAGAGTTATATGATCATTGCACCTCATTTTAGACTCTTAATTTGATTAATTTGATATCAATTCAGTAGGGGATTATACTCTTTAGGATGGAGCACACAATGTTGTAGGACAGTTTATTATTACTCCTTATAGGCTTAGGTGACATTGAATGTCACAACCCATATCAAAAACATCTCTATAGATCATTTTGGTCTGTTCTATTTGTAGCATTAGTATGCATTCATCACTCTAATTGATATCTTTATTTGACTTATTTTAATAGTTTGGTCACTTTCTTTATGCTAGGCTTCATTTTAAATTCAATAATTTTACTTTGACTAGAGTTATTCTTAGTATAATCATGCTTTTTTATTGTGTATTTTTCCCTCAACCATGCCCTTTCAGGTCAGAATCTTCCTAGACTAGTCATATTTTTTGAACCTAGCCTACTCCTAGTTTGGATATACTAATTTTTCTATGGAACATGTCCTCTTATCCATCCTTTTTTGGATGAGAAATATCCTGCACGTGCTATGCTCGTCTAGATAAATTCATCCTTAGTTTAGTCATGTCTTTTTTATTATATTATTTTCATTTTGGATTTGGTCATAATTTTTTAATCCATGTAAGAAAAGATAAAAAATAAGAAGATTTGTTATAAAAATTGGTTTAGATGTAAAAATTCTAATAATTGGGAAATCTTTAAAGTGGTTCGTAAGGAATCTAAGAAAGCTATTTGCGATGCAAAGAGCTTATCTTTTAATGATTTATATAATATATTAGATACTAAGGAGGGGGAAATATGTCACGACCTGACCCGACTAGCCTGAAAATAACGGGGCGGGAATAGTCGGTCGTACAGAAAAGCATATATAAAACATAAACAATTTCATTAAAACTTTAATGTCATGACCTAAACATCATCCAAATATATATAAAAGAGCCACTAATAACGTCAAATAAAAGTGTTCCAAATAGTTCTTCTCACACAACTACTAAAACTTTTAAATCATCAACAGTTACATAAGCTTTCACAAACTACACGGACAGAACAAAGACTTAACATAAAACATAAAACATGAAAACATTTCTTCTTCTCGAGGTCCTCTACGACGGTAGGTATACTGCAGTCTCGTAGCTATTACTTCTTAATTGGTTATCCTGAAAAATATTTTTAAAAGTAAGATGAGCCAACGCTCAGTAGGTGAAAAACATATATCTCAAATTCATAAAATATTTTTCTTAACATATCATTAAGCATGAAATTGAAAAAGGATCAGTATAAACATTGATGCTTGAATTTATAAAATAGTTTCAATAATTGTTCTTAAAATATTTTTCTTATTCCATATCATTCTTTTCTTTCTTTTCCATAAAATTTCATTTTTCTTAAATCATTTCATTAAATGCATAACTTTCAAAGTCATAATATGATAATCACCCGTCCCGGAAATGTCTGATTTTTGTACTGATCAAGTACACAGTCTTTTGGCCATTTCCTTTACCATTTGGCTCCGAAGAACCCCATTACCATTTGGCTTTTGCAAGCCCAATTACCATTTAACTTTTGTAAGTCCCATTAGCATTTTGGCATTTCCGGATCAACATGCATATGCACTTTATAATACTATTTATTTTCATCAAAGGATTTGAAATTATTCAATGCCTCATATGATCTTAAATGTTTTATCGGGTAAATGAAAACTTTGCATATCTTATGTCTTAAATTATTTACTTAATGTGAATATTTTAAACAACATATCATGAATATAAACAAAGATTGAAAAACTAAAGTCATGATAACGAATTCAAAAACATAAGTTTGTAAAAGTGCAGAACTATTTAATTAAAATTTCATAAATTCAATTTAAATGCAATTCACCTACATTGCAACCAGCGAATAAACACCACAACGTTTTACGACGCTGTCTAACCACTTGCCTTCACCTTAATCCACACCTAAAAGACAATTACTATTGAACTAAGCATACATCATAATTATTTTCAATAATTAACATAATTAATTTCTATTTTCGGAATTATCATAAATCTAAAAATTAGAAATCCATCTTAAATTTCGCTCAAATCTCTATTCTAAAATTATTCCTAAATAATATGTAATAATTATCTAATTTATTTTCGGATTAATTAAATTAAGAAAATTATAAAAATGAAAATTTCACTAAAAATCAAAATTTTTGTTTTA